TATCGTCAATGTGATTTCGGTTGCTATAAATATGTATCGTCCAAAACCGTTGTCGGTCTAATCTATCCTTCTGGTTTTTGCAGACATGCAGTGCCAAAAGAATATTTCTAGTGTTGCAGAATTTGTGTCAGGGCTGGATGGATCACAACATGCAAAACAATCAACGTCTCTTTATATGAAAAAAGTGGAGGATCCTCATCAAGTGGGGGCTTCGGTCGTTTGTCATACAAGCAAGGGTTTCTTTCATTTTCTTTAGAGACTCCGATGATCTACTCTAGTCTGGTATTCCTTTAATAATTTCGTTTCCTAACGACTCAATTATTTGAGACTCTAATGCATAAAAGGACCACTTTTTGACAGGCCCAACGTCCTTTCATGCAGGACTCTTTTGAATGTCTATGTTGCGATCAAAGTCCTAAGAATCCTGATACAATAAGGTCACACCCTTTTACAATTGTGCGGAATTTTATTCCCACTGGCAATTATTAATGGTACTCCTCCTCGTTTCAAGAGTTACCAGGACAAGCAGAAAAGTGAAAACGGAAATCCCCCTTCTCTCCTCATTCGTTCGCTTCAACATGCATGTGGATCAATTGCTGGCTCAGTGCCACTGGTGCATCCCAGAAACTAAAAATGAAATGCACAAGTTTTTGGTACATTTTTTTCACTATACATATATGTATGTTTCTTTCCCTGTTATCAATTGAGGGGCTTTGAATGATGGATTTGGAGTCCGTAATGGAGGGGAATGGTTTCAGTTCATTCAGGTGCTAAGTATGCTTGATTAAGTTCCTGTAATTTGTCTTGGAATTATTCAATTAAAGTTTCTTTGAACAGTGGACTAACCATAGATATCTAACTTTTTGTCCCATTATGGTATACAGCAACTCCGGTTCTACTGACAATTTCTTTAGTCTCTGATCAATATTCTTGCATGAGATCCCCACCAAAGGTCATGGTGATGGAAGAAACTGCTTTTATGAGCTAGGTTATACTATAAGAAAAGACTAATAAATCAAAAAAGTTGGTTGTTGTTTAAGGGTGCTTAATTAATCTTGGACACGTATATCATCAGAAGAATCCAAATATTGGATTCAGATTTTAACAAGTAATGATGAGGTCATGCATTACATGGTATAAAACTTTATGATCTTATAGTTAGACCGGGAACCTGCTCCAGGCAAGACAAAAGATGGAACCTGCTTTCCTGCTGACTAGACGTAAGATGCTTGTCAATCACCACATTTTTTGCTCTGTCGCAATTCTCAACCCTCCGATTTGTCTTAACCTTCTCCCTATGTACCCAATCGTCAACCAGCTTCATTGCCTGAGGAAGGCACATTAAGGGTATTAGATTTTGTCACCTACATATTGCACAGGGTGATGATAGGATGACAACTATCTATACAAATTAATAGAGAATGTGTAAAAGTTCCCCTGTATAAAATTATAAGCACATCTGACAGCAGATAATCTAAATCCCTTCGCCCTTTACATTTTTTGTTGTATCTGGGCTAAGCATACAGCTTAGAAAGAGCCATTAGAAAATGGACTTGAGTGAGAACAAACGTGGGGATTCCAACTGTACTTCACCCCCATTCACAGGTAAGGCTTTCTGATAGATAATGCTGATTAAATAATGAGAATAACTTCAGATTAAGCTGCAAGCCTTAGCCTTCAACATAATAACCAAGTTGCTCGATCGTTTACCTGTAACATCAGGCAAGTGAAACGGATCCTGAAAGGAAAGAATGAGATTGGAATCTTAATAATTACACATTAAGACTGTTGTTGGTCACAGTTGAAGGTTGACTTGTCATTATGTGAGACAAGGAAATGTGCATGCATGATTTGATGGTGTTGGGTGAGGATGTGTTGTGGGTCTAAGCTCATGATCTGTTTTTTAAATTTTTAATCCCCAATTAATTACTCTAGCTAATCACCATTATAATTAAATTGCCGCCACTGCCTAGCTAGCTAGAGGTTGTGCTTGCAAGTGATATCTCCATTACCATTAGCTTTAAATTAGTCTTTTACCTACTTCCATGCTTGTCTGCCCCTTTTGCCTTTTCATCTTGATTCACGGAGCAACACCTCACTAACCCACTATAACTTGATTCATAACCATTTTTTCAGTACTTGTTAGTAAAATAATACTTTCTTTTAGAATGTGATGTAAAGTGTAATTCGCTTCTAAATTGACATTTTCTTCCATTATACAACTTGAGTTTCAAAAGAGACATTAGGAAATGTATATCCATATCCTTTTGATGGCTTGGCAACTGCTGGAAATAGTGTTTCTTATTATTTGTTTATAATTCTCTTCCTACTCATATCTCTATCAGAGGTCTTGGGGTGGAATTCCAAATCAATGGTCCGCATCCCACAAAAATTTTATGGCTGACATTGTTATTAATGTTGAATAGTTATCTTCTCCAAGTTGATATAAAAGGAATTCTGTCGACATATATATATGTATCATTTACAGTTGATCCTGCATTCTCAGTGGAGGCTGTCATCATCTCGCAGACAAGCCAATTGTGACACAACCCCTCCCTTTGGTTCAATCAGCAAAGTCTCCTCAGCTTAAAAGTTGTGTGTAATCACCATTTCTATCTTTACATATATATATATATATATACACACACACACGTACCTATTCATATTTACCACAGATTATGAACTCTTCATAACAGAAGATAGAGCAGATTAATTAATATATAAGTATGAGGTTTGACGGCTAAAATTTTAGGACTTAATTAGTTTGATATTAATGAAAAGTGAGGAGTAGGAGTAGGAGTGCTGCAGAGAAAGGAGTTTTGATTTGCATCCACCCTTTTTAAGCCAAGGTCTCTTGCTTTCCGCTCAGGGTCGTCTGGACCATACGTTTTGCAATAGATTAGGTATTAGTTTTGATTGTTCTCCCATAGGCCACCAAAGATTTTCGCAATCCTTTGAATGCAACATGGATGTCTACTCATAAATTGCTGTCACATTCTCCCTCTCTCTCTCTCTCTCTCTCTCTCTTGCATGCACATATTATATATATATATATATACACGGTACACGTGTGTGTACACGTATTCGTGTGTTGAAATCAAATGAATATTGTTAATCGGCAAGTGATAACAGTAAAATAGGGTTTTGATAAATCTTAAATTAAAATAATTTATTATACATATTTCGTATTCTAAAAGATAATCAATTTAACATTTTTAATTATGAGTTGCTTGTATTAGTTGGTGAGTAACAGATGGCAGTAAGACCAATCTTTGCATACAGTGAGGCTGTCATTCAACTACTGATTCTAACATATCTAGATTTTGGTCGAGGAAACAGATAATTTATGAGAGAGAGAAAGAGAGAGAGGGAGATGCCCTTCTTCTCCAAACATTTGAAGACATGAGAAGCATCTATGACCTCAACAGTGGGAAGTGGACTTGGAAAAGACATTAGGGAGTCGAGGGGGAAAGTGGGTCTAGTAAAAACGACAATCAGTGCAATCATGAAATTCTAAAACCTTACACATCATGCCCCTACTCAACTATATTTATATATGGGATTTGGGAAGGAATCCCATAAGTAAAATTTACCTCCAGACATCTCCTTGCTTGTGATAATACATGAGCCCCACATTTCCACCATTGCCACAAACCTTTGAACCATATGTAATCTAGCCAGCACATGATCATTAATTTGTTGGATTATTGGACATGCAGAGACCACATAAGTTGTTGGAATTAAATCTTTCTATATTTGCCAAAAGCTATATATATATATATATATATATATATATGTATATGTATACCCTCTCTTTAAGTAATGCTGCTTTATGATAATTAAGGAATAATTTAGAAATAATTTGCTTAGTTAAGTTTATCTTTACAATTGTGTTAAAAATTAACCTATTTTGTCTCACAACTTGAGACAGAAAATGCAATTTCTCATCAATCTGTGGCATGCAAGAGTTTATCTTGATACCTTTTCTACAGCAAATATATATTATTAAGCCAAACATATTATATAAAGAAGCAAAAAACAGTTAATGTAATTCAAACAAAAAAGGAAACGAAAATCCAATGAATATATATATATATATATGACTAAATGGAGGGGGTTGAGCAAAAAAGTGCCTAATTGCACCGGCCTTAAGCATTGGTCGTAGATGTCTAATTAATAAGGTGGCTATATCTAGCCAAGGAGAGGTACCATTGTGTAATGTACAATACACCTACTTCTCCATGCATTAACAATGGTGATGCTGACAAGTTCTTAAATTACGATTTCTTGTTTTGTTTAAAGAATGGACTTAGCCGCCTTGACCTTCCCGGAATTAATTACTATGTGTTATATCATATTCCTTTATTATTATCAGGATATATAAAAAATGCTAGTATAATATGTTTGTATATACATATCTATGTATAAAGAATTGAAATTTTTTTCGAATTTAAAAATACAGATTGGGAAAAGACAAGGGTTTTTTCATTTCTTCTCTTCCAGGATAATAAATACATTGACAAAATTTAAGTGGTTTTGACCCAAACAATCCTGGTGGGGTTGTTACCAAAAGAAAGAAGAATTTAAATATACTACAAGTATAATTTGAGAATTTATGATGAATAGCTAACTTTTTGGTTATATATTTATGAATATATAGATTTAGAAACTGATGATGAACTCATTTTCAATATCTAGGGTAGGGATCACATATATACCTTGATACTGTTTTCTAATTTCCCAACCAAATATTGATGTAAAACGGAATGAAAACAGTATGTACAGTGGAGGTTGAGGGGAATAAAAGCAATCCCACAAAGCAAGCTGTCACACTTGCCATTTAAAAGAAGCTTCGATGTCAAGGAATGCAATGGTAACA